AACCATCTCTCATGCTTGTAAATTGCATAAAAACAATCTGTCATTCACAATTCATGTAAAGCGCCTTTGATTATATCCACATATTAAAGGGCGCTATATAAATCATAATCATAATCATAATAATAATAATAATAATAATATATTTTATAAATACATACTATTATTTAAAGTATACCAAAAGCAATCTCAGGTTTAGACCAATGAACCTTTCACTTGAATGTCTGTGATGTACCTGTCAGAGTAGCCATCAACAGATATATGTATAGTGAAAAAAACCATTACCTCAAATCTGATAAGTGTTAAAAACATGTCCCTATCTTCATCACTATTCAAAACGTTTTCTCATCTTTCTTTGATCAGATGGCTAACATCTTTGCAATACATCCGTTTTGGCATTCAATGTATATCGCTGCTTTTGAAGACTACAGACTCATATACACAGGCCGAGCTTCTTTTATAAGTCAGCTATTAACAGATACCATTAAAAGTTAGTGGGATTTCAAAACATTGGTATTGTTCAACTTGCACATCCTTTATATCACAGTTGACTTTTGCAAATGATTTGCTGTTAAGCGAGACTAAGCCTGTACAGATGAGTCTGTAGTCATAAAACACAGCGGTATTTACTGAATGAGAAAAGGGACTATTCATGTATGTATTGATTTACATGTAATAAATTTTATGTGATTTTGAATAATTTTTAAATTAGTATTTTGGGTTTGATTTATTGTAGGAGTGTTGACGGTGGTGAGAAAGATGACGACTATTCTTCAAATCCAATAGCACAGCAAACCAGACAGGTATAAAATGATTTGTTATCCTTTTTCAATAAATTACTGCAGCTGTCTTTCTAGTCTCTATTGCAGATGTCATTATTATCGATTCCAGATCTTTCCAGGGCGGCTTAAAAATGACCAGGAGCCAAATATATTCTAGTCCAACTTGACCTAACCCAAGCAATAAGCATTTTATCATTTATCATGACGTTTTGTTGTAAAAAGATCCTGCTAAATTAATAAATAAAGCGTGGTTAAACCGGGGAGGGCGGGACAGGTTTTTCCAGTCAACTCATGTCAACCTGTCTGGCCCCCATCACTTGAGTTTAACCAATGGTTTTATTAGATGGTGGGTGAAAGGCTGTACAGGTCAAATGATGAAATGCACATTTTCGTAAAAATTCCAGGAAAAGCTTAGATTACAGGCTCTACGAAGACATCTAGATCAGCTGAGTGAACAAGTCTTGGAGAAAGATTATATTGTCATTCAGTCAAGGCAAGTAATTAAAGGGTAAAAAGATAAAGGGATGAATTTATATGGCTCCATTTCCAGGAGCTCAATGTCRCTTTACAAGATCAGTGGAGGACTTTACGGGCTGCATATTAAGGCGCTAGCAACAGCTATGCAGCTCACAATCATGAGGGATTTGTTAGTATGTTAGTATCCAAGTCTCACAGCACTTTTACGATAAACAGAATGGAAAAAAAGGGGGAGCTATTTTTTTCATACAACAATGCCAGGCGAGGGTGATCAGATATCAAACTGCTCCCCTTTCCCTGGTAAAAAATGGATGATCCCTAATGGATAACTTTCAACCCTCCCCTCCCCTCCCTTTGAAAAATGGATGGTCCCCTATATTGCCTTGACTAACTGGGATTCTTTTTTATGGTGCAGAGAGGAGTTAAAGAAATGCCACGACAACATTGAATGTTTGGAAAAACAAATTGAAGATGTCCAAAAGCAAATCACAGAAGCAGAGAATTGTCAGAATATGTAAGTGCTCGAGGGATGTATTCAGGGGGGGTGCATTGAGTGTGTACCCTCCTGGTTCGACTTTGTGCCCCTACTTTGAAGTAACCAATACTGGTTTTTCCTTTTGATTCTAAGGGGTGCACCCCCCTGAGTTAACTTTGTGTGCAGCACCCCCCTGAACAAAATCTTGTATCAGCCCCTGTGCTTGCCTCTCATCAATGTGACACAGGTTGATGTGATGGTGCAAAGCATCTATTACAACAATCAATTGATTATAACCCCCTTCCTCCTCAGTCGGCTCTTGACAGAAATGAAAAATCTGATTGGTTCCCAGACTAGACATGATTGGAGCACATATACACTTGACTAGGAATGATCATTAATGGCATGACCAGTGTTCCAACTCTCACTGCTCTGATTGTTGGTTTGATTAGATTTTCTTAAGTTAATAGACCTTATTCGTGGCGTGACAATGTTTTCTCAATTCAGCGTGACGAACCTCCAGGGGATTCATTTTCTTTTGTTTTTTAAAAATTCGTGAGTATCCCAAAGGATACGAAAGGAATAACGATGATATCCCGACAAGTTGCAAAACAATAGCTCTTCATTCCCCCAGAGGTTTGTCACGCTGAATTGGGAAAACATTGTCACACCACAAATAAGTTCTATTATTAATCAATAAATAATTTTTCTCTCAGGGCATCTCTTGCTAGACTTAGATCTCAACACTCTAAGCTCAGTACGGAGTTGGACAATGAAAAAGATGTGATGAAACAGGTAACCAGTCAACTAGAGGATTCTGAGTAAGTATTGTATTTGATTACATCATATTTCATTATTCAAAGATTGTACTTATTCATATGTCTCACGATTGTGGCAGTTGGGAGGTGCTACTGCTAGTCTTCATCAGGTCGATGGTGTAGACTGGAAGGGTTTCTCTGGGGCTTCAAGTTAGATTCCTGGGCTCGGCATCACATGGAAGTAGAGTTTGCTAGGTTTCTCCCTTGTGTGAAGAATAAAAAGTCTCTCTGGGGTTACAAGTTTGATTCCTGGGCTCGGCATCAGAAGGAAGTAGAGTTTGTTAGGTCTCTCCCTTGTGTGAAGAATAAAAAGTCTCTCTGGGGTTACAAGTTTGATTCCTGGGCTTGGCATCACATGGGAGTAGAGTTTGTTAGGACTCTCCCTTGTGTGAAGAATAAAAAGTCTCTCTGGGGTTTCAAGTTTGATTCCTGGGCTTGGCATCACATGGGAGTAGAGTTTGCTAGGACTCTCCCTTGTGTGAAGAATAAAAAGTCTCTCTGGGGTTACAAGTTYGATTCCTGGGCTTGGCATCACATGGAAGTAGAGTTTGCTAGGACTCTCCCTTGTGTGAAGAATAAAAAGTCTCTCTGGGGTTACCAGTTTGAATCCTGGGCTCAGTATCACATGGAAGTAGAGTTTGCTAGGTCTCTCCCTTGTGTGAAGAATAAAAAGTCTCTCTGGGGTTACAAGCTTGATTCCTGGGCTCGGCATCACATGGAAGTAGAGTTTGTTAGGTCTCTCCCTTGTGTGAAGAATAAAAAGTCTTAAAGTCTTGATGCAAGGGATTTTTTTCTTTTTTTAGGTATGCATTAGCTCAGGCAATAGCTGAACAGGGCAAGTTTTTGATGGCTGGTGAAGAAGTGGAGAAAAATGATCGAATGAATGAAAAACACAAACAAGAGCAATCTGTATCCAGAGCAAGAAGAGAAAATGCTAATGCTGCTATAGCTGAGAGAAGACGCAGAACCAGGGAAAAGTAAGCTTTGATGATGATGATGATGGTGGTGATGATGATGATGGTGATGATGATTGTGGTGGTGGTGGTGATGATGACTATAACGACTATCAAGATGATGATGATCATGGTAATGATGATGATAGTGATGATGATAATGATCATCGATAGTGATGCATGATGAGAATTATAGAAATTAATATTATGACGATATGAGTGGCGATCACAATAGAGGTGATCATGATATCGGATGATGATGGTGATGGTAATATGACTACAACAGTAGTGGTGATGATGAGGATTATCATCACACAGATGTCAATCAATGGATACACATTGCTACATTGCTGCTCAGAATACTGTTCAGGATTTAAGACTGTCTTAATTAATAGTAATAATTTTTCTTTCAAGGGAACATGTGTCCGCTTTACGAGAGCGAGAACGAAAACACAGACAAGCATTGACAGCTGCTAAAAGAAACAGAGAACATGCTACGAAGTTCCTTAAAGAAACAATGTCAAGGTAAGTATGCAAGTGTCAATGATGACGATGGTGGTGATGGTGAAGATGATGATTATGATGGTGATGATTGATGATGGTGGTGATGATGATGATGGCGGTGATGATGATGATGGTGGTGATGATGATGGCGGTGATGATGATGATAGTGATGATGGTAATGATGGTGATGATGATACCGCTGGTGCAGCGGTTGCTGTTAATGAAGATAAGAATGGTGATTATGGTTATGATGATCATGATCATGATGCTAACGATGATAATGGGTTGATGATGATGGTGATGGTAATGGTGATGGCGATGACAATGATGATGACATTGATGTGGATTTCAAGGTTAATGTGTTAATACCTTGTTTTCCAGAGTTCGTCAGAAAAAAGCAGAGGAAGAAGAAAGATCACGCGATGAACTTGATGACAAAATGGAGGCCGTTCTGTCGCTCAAAAGGAACATTGAAACTAACAAAGTACGTTTTACATTAAATATGACTAAAAATATCGATGATATACAAAAACAACGTAATTAAGATAATGAGAGATAAGAACATGCGTAATAGGTAAATTACGAGCTTTGTATGAAGAGAGATAATGTAAGGAGAGATAAGAGGGCGAGAAAACCCAGAGAAACACCATGGAAACAAGGAAGAGACCTAACGAATTCTACTCACGTGTGGTTCCGAGTTCAGGAGAAGAGTGAAAAATTTCAATAATACTACATTATCCTTGATTCCACCCTCGCTTTCTGGATCGTACGAATGCTGATTTGAACATTCCATCTCTATCCCATTTGCAGGAGAATTTGCGCGCTTTACAAGCAAGAGGCGCAAAACTCGCGTATTTCAATAATACTACATTATTCTTGATTCCACCCTCGCTTTCTGGTTCGTACAAATGCTGATTTGATCATTTCATCTCTATCCCATTTACAGGAGAATTTGCGCGCTTTACAAGCAAGAGATGCAAAACTCGCGCGCGAACGCGAAGAAGAGGAACAGCAAGAGCGCGAAGAACTATTGGCCCAAGGACTCAACCCAAACGAGGTTATGACCAGGCGGAAACGAATAAGACAGTTTGAACGGGATAAAGAGTAAGCCATCATTCTTTTTATTAGAGTATTTATATAGCGCTTTACAGCAAGATAATTAAAAAATAAAAGTAATATCTATAAATATGTACTAATACTGAGAAATACTTGCGCACACAAGCGCACGCACACATAATACGCACATGAAATATGTACATAGATGCACATAATTTACATATATGTAGCGACATACACATACGTAAATATATGCACACATATATATACATACTGCATGCACATACAGAAATAGAAGCACACGTGTATGTCTAGTATAATGATTTAACAGATCAAAAACAGCTTTCCGTGTTTGATACTCTGATCAAAACACGCGGGATGTTGGGAGAACACGAGAGGAGCGTAGGAAACCACGACGCGTAGCGGAGTGGTTACCAGCTTCTCGAGTGTTCTCCCAACATCCCAAGTGTTTTGATCAGAGTATCAAACACAGAAAACTGTTTTTGATCCGTTTTATAAAATAACAAACGCGCGAAAAGATCGAAAAAAAGCAAAGTCTAAGTAAATTCTCCCTACGTGCCGTCTTATTCAAACTGACCAATGAGCGCGCGCGATAGATTAAAAATGACGATAGCGTGTTTTGATACTCTCATCAAACATGGTTTTCGACCAATCATAGCGCGCGTAGTATCCCAATTATTTTATAATCTCCTATCAATATAGCACACTTTTAAAATGCACATGGTTTGTTGAATACCTTTTTAATTTGTTGCTCATCAAGATACCTTTCCCGAATTTGCTTGAGTGACCGCAAAACAATGGTTTCAAGTCGAGGCTTGACTTGATGTGTTCATACATTTACTGTATTTTATCAGGTTCACCCTCGACTTGGAGACACTGTTTCATGGCCACTCTAGCAAATTCGGAAAAGTTCTATTATTAATCAGAATTTATCTTTTTTCCCTCTCACTTTCTCTTACTTTCTTTCTTATCCAGGGCGTTTGAAAAACGACAACGAGAAAGACAGGTTAGAATCTCATTTTTGATTGGCTTATTTAACTTCATTATTGATTGGTCTACTAAATTTTATTGTGATTGGCTCATTTCATATATCATGTGACGTTACCGGAAATGACGATTTCCCCCCATTTTCCAATTTTCCAGATTGAAATAGCTGAGAATATTCTAAAAGAAGAGAAACAGCTAAAGAAGCGTTACCAACAGCAACCACAGCTTTGGCCGGACAAACAACGCGAACGGTCCAAGGTAGATGTTTTACCTTACAGTGGGACTAAATGGATGAGTGCAGTGTAGTATACGTTTGTGTTTTAAGCGTACTCGAGTCTTGATTCTGAAAACAAAAGACATTTTTAGCTCGGGCGTAATATTTTCCCATTTCAGACCACGTGTCATTCCCTAGAGAACAAGATTCTTTGTTTCAGTTGTATCCATATTCATGTGTCTTCTCATGTGCAACCGTTAAACAAAGAAATGATACTCGAGGGAATGAAGTCACACGTAATCTGAAATAAGAAAACATTACGGTCAAGCTGAAAATATCTGTTCTAAATGCTGTAGAGCAACAGACCCCTTGCATTTGACGTCAAAGGAGCTTTGGAGGACAAAACAAAAGAATTTCAATCTCAGTGAGAATTAGAAACCTATTGTTTTATCCTCCAAATTGAGCTGCAATACGACGTGCTGCAAGGGGTCTTTTAACCCCCTACCTCTCAACGGGTACCTTAGCGCACACGCGCCTTCCTCTGCCGACGTAACTCTTATGTTTTGTTTTGTGAAGCGAATAACGAGACGGCGTCCAAAACCCAAGTTCTTCAAGTCGACAAGTGGATCTTCTTCAATGGAGTATAGTGCTGACGTAGAAGATACAGGGGTATGTTTTATATGTCACGCTAAGCCAGACAAGACTTCAATTGACTGTGAATGTCACGCTAAACTAGACAAGATTTCAATTGACTGTGAATGTCACGCTATACTAGACAAGATTTCAATTGACTGTGAATGTCACGCTATACTAGACAAAATTACAATTGACTGTGAATGTCACGCTATACTAGACAAGATTTCAACTGACTGTGAATGTCACGNCTATACTAGACAAAATTACAATTGACTGTGAATGTCACGCTATACTAGACAAGATTTCAACTGACTGTGAATGTCACGCTATACTAGACAAAATTTCAATTGACTGTGAATGTCACGCTATACTAGACAAGATTTCAATGGACAACTTCGACGATACGGCGGCCATCTTTGCCAGGGGGCAAAACAAAACAAAGATGACGAAAACTATATAGAGTTTCGTGTGTTTGTCTTTCTTTTATGGGTAAAGGCGATCGATGTGCCGTCTTAATTTATCTTTTGTTGTATTCTCTTGTGGTAAGCTGTTAAGCTTTATTTGACCCCAGCATGTCCCATTATTCATTGCTATCCAAGATGGCTGCCGTATCGTCCATTTACTGTGAAACAGAACGACATGGAATGCATCACTACCGCGATGAGAAATTTAAAGTGTTACTCGGACCAATCGCAGCGCGCGCAACAATTACACAGCCAATCAAAATTATCGAACACGGCACGGTAACGACACGACACTACATCCGTATTGGCTACTCAAACTTGTTATCTTCATTTCACAGGATCAACGGTTTGGTGGTCGACTTGTCGCCGTGTCATCTGATGATGATGATTTTTCTCCCTATGGCGAGACAAGCAGAGATGAAGCTAAAGGCGGGTAAGTAATCCAACACAGGAAGCCCATCTCGTTTTCTACACTATTAACTTCTTCCGTCTTTTTTTCCCAGGGATTCTGATGCTGACGTCACGGAAGATCTTGCCGTACCTGAATTCAAAGGATTATGGGAAGACACCGGCGACAAAGTAAGTCACGTGATCGTTATTGCTCATAGACGTTTTACGTTGTGACATATTTCCGGATCCAGTCGCTCACAAAAGCGGAAATTTTTCTCATTGATTTAACCTGCACCTGAAACAATATAACCTGAAACAATATAAAGGTCCAATAGAGCGTTTGCAACCATGTGACTTAAAATCCCTTGAGATATGAATAACAATGAAACAGCCGCCATCTTGGTTGATCTAACAAGAGAAGCTAATGAGGAATGCTTTGTTATCGTCAACCAAGATGGCGGCTATGACGTAACGTGCACATGCTCTATAGAGTGTGTGCAACCATGTGACTTAAAATCCCATGAGATATGAATAACAATGAAACAGCCGCCATCTTGATGGATACAGACGCATGCTATCTAGAGTATCGCCATCCGGTTAGCTCAGTTGGTAAGAGCGTCGGTCTGTTGTGCGGGAGGTCGTGGTTCAAGCCTTGGCCGGACCAACACTCGGGGTCAACCAATATCGAAGGGACGTAAAAGAACCACTGAGGACGTAAAGAAACCCTGGCAGTGACCACCCTCAGTGTCTACACCTTATACTAACCACCTCGTTCAAAACACATTGTGACGCGCCTTTAAACATATGCATATGGAAAAGAGCGCTATACAAATAGATATCATTTATATATAATAATTGTGTTTGATGAATGGTAATTTGCAGGGAGTCCACAATAAAACCAGTAAACTAAAATTCACCAATCAACTGCCGAGCAAGATGGAACAGGATATCATGGACCGGTCTTTAATGAAACAGAGAGCGGGAATCGTACAGAAGCAGGTCGCTGCTGGCCGAGAATTCAAGGTAGAGGAAGCTAATTTATGGTTCCGATTCAGACAATCCATTTGCACTATTGCGCGTAGCTTTTTATGTATCCCCTTTGAAATTCAACAAACTACTGACACCAAGGCACTGTTAACAGATTTCTTTGCTATAACTTCGGGCTAAAACAAGGTTATAACATCCTTATTTAACCTGGATTATTCTTTTTTGTCAATTAAGTTGTCATTGTTTGTATTTTCAGGGTTGCGCGTTCTACAGCAAACCAGAAATCGTTATATTTAAGGTCAGTCAGCATCACTATCATCATCGCCATCATCATCACCATCATCATCATCACTATCATCATCTTCAACATTGTCACTATCATCATCGCCATCACCATCATCATCATCATCGCTATAATCATCATCAACATTGTCACTATCACCATCGCCATCACCATCATCATTATTATCATCATCACTATCATCATCATCATCACTATCATCATCATCATCACTATCATCATCATCAACATTGTCACTATCATCATCGCCATCACCATCATCATTATCATTATCATCATCACTATCATCATCATCAACATTGTCACTATCATCATCGCCATCACCATCATCATCATCATCATCGCTATCATCATCAACATTGTCACTATCATCATCGCCATCACCATCATTATTATCATCATCACTATCATCATCATCATCACTATCATCATCATCATCACTATCATCATCATCGACATTGTCATCAATAGTAACGTGTCTTTCATTTAATTGTTTCTTATCCTTAAAATTGTTTCCCAACAGGATTTTGATGTGGGCAAATCTTACCGCAAAAAAGTTCTTCTGACAAACATCTCCTACACACAAAACTTTTGTAAATACGTGGGGATGTCACACGTCCTCAAAGACTTCATAGATGTACAGTAAGTAAAACCTTTGTTATGAAGGGGAAAAAGATTGTCATAGACGGTGGATGCTTATACTTCACACTTTGTCACATCACATCACGTCACGAAACACCACAGTACTTCAATTCACATCACATCACACACACCACAACACATCACATCATGCCACGACAGATCATAGCACAGCACTTCACATGATATAATATTATACCAAACCACAACACATCACACTGCGACACGTCAAATCACACCACAACACATTACACCACACCAAACCACTACATATAAAGTCACACAACACATTACATCACTCAACACATCACATCACACCAAACTATACCACGACACACCACACCACAACACATCACACCAAACCATACCACGACACACCAAACCACAACATAAGAAATCACACAACACATTACGTCATACCACAACAGTACATGTACGCCTTACTACACTAAATTACACTACACTGCACTGCACTACACTACACTACACTACACTACACTACACTAC